GGCCTTGAACATCTGCAGTGCCAGCTGCAACAGTTGAAGTCTTGGCTAAGCCATTTACAGACTTAAGGGGGATCCTAAATGACATTTACAATCCCATCTACAATTAGAAAGTATTTATATAAACACACATGTGCACATACAGTGGGATGCAAAAGTTTGAGCAACCTTGTTAATAGTCATTATTTTCGTTGGTTGTTACAATAAAAAAATGTCAGTTAAATATATCATATAGGAGACACACACAGTGATATTTGAGAAGTGAAATGAAGTTGATTGGATTTACAGAAAGCGTGCAATAATTGTTTAAACAAAATCAGGCAGGTGCATAAATTTGGGCACTGTTGTCATTTTATTGATTCCAAAAGCTTTACAACTAATTATTGGAACTCAAATTGGCTTGGTAAGCTCAGCGACCCCTGACCTACATACACAGGTGAATCCAATAATGAGAAAGAGTATTTAGGGGGGTCAATTGTAAGTTTCCCTCCTCTTTTAATTTTCTCTGAAGAGTAGCAACATGGGGGTCTCAAAACAACTCTGAAATGACCTGAAGACAAAGATTGTTCACCATCATGGTTTAGAGGGGGGATACAGAAAATGGACTCAAAGATTTAAGCCGTCTGTTTCCACAGTTAGGAACATACTGAGAAAATGGAAGACCACAGGCTCAGTTCAAGTTCAGGCTCGAAGTGGCAGACCAAAAAAAATCTCAGATAGACAGAAGCGACGAATGGTGAGAACAGTCAGAGTCAACCCACAGACCAGCACCAAAGACCTACAACATCATGTTGCAGCAGAAGGAGTCGCTGTGCATCGTTCAACCATTCGGCGCACTTTACACAAGGAGATGCTGTATGCGAGAGTGATGCAGAGGAAGCCTTTTCTCCGCCCACAGAACAAACAGAGCCGCTTTAGGTTTGCACATTTGGACAAGCCAGCTTCATTCTGGAATAAGGTGCTGTGGACTGATGAAACTAAAATTGAGTTATTTGGGCATAACAAGGGGTGTTATGCATGGAGGAAAAAGAACACAGCATTCCAAGAACAACACCTGCTACCTACAGTAAAATATGGTGGTGGTTCCATCATGCTGTGGGGCTGTGTGGCCAGTGCAGGGACTGGGAATCTTGTCAAAGTTGAGGGACACATGGATTCCACTCAGTATCAGCAGATTCTGGAGACCAATGTCCAGGAATCAGTGACAAAGCTGAAGCTGTGCCAGGGCTGGATCTTTCAACAAGACAACGACCTGAAACACTGCTCAAAATCCACTAAGGCATTCATGCAGAGGAACAAGTACAACGTTCTGGAACGGCCATCTCAGTCCCCAGACTTGAATGTTATTGAAAACCTGTGGTGTGAGTTAAAGAGAGCTGTCCATGCTCAGAAACCATCAAACCTGAATGAACTAGAGATGTTTTGTAAAGAGGAATTGTCCAAAATACCTTCAACCAGACAATCATTTCACAATCCAGACTCTCATTGGAACCTGCAGGAAGCATTTAGAGGCTGTAATTTCTGCAAAAGGCGGATCTACTAAATATTGATTTCATTTCTTTTTTGTGGTGCCCAAATTTATGCACCTGCCTGATTTTGTTTAAACAATTATTGCACACTTTCTGTAAATCCAATAAACTTCATTTCACTTCTCAAATATCACTATGTGTGTCTCCTATATGATATATTTAACTGACATTTTTTATTGTAACAACCAAAACAGGAAAATAATGACTATTAACAAGGTTACCCAAACTTTTGCATCCCATTGTACACGCACACAAAATACGTGTTTGTGGGATCAATTCTAAACTATAGCGACAGTCTCACCTGTAGCCAATAGGACATGGATACTGTTTTCATCAAACAGGTAGTCCTCTGATTATTCTTCATTTTCAAGTGGACTTCAGGTCATTTATAATCTGATGAACATATTCATATTTTTCCCAATAATGTAAGAGTTCCAGGGGTTTTCAGAGTGTTTCAATGGAAAACTGTGTCAAATATATATCGCATGTAGTAAAAGTTTGTGTTAAACTCACAGGTCTGTCACAGAGACTCCATAATCTAGGGGAAAACACAGGGCAAAGATGCAATGATCAGCTAAAACCACATCAATTCATCGTTATAAAATTAATTGTGTTCACCAGTTATAATGTTTACCGTTTTAGATACAGTCCCACTGAAAAGAAACAAAAGGAATACATGTGTTGAATTAATAATCAGCGGCACACCAAGTCAGTTTCTATAGAAGGCTGAGGGCCAGAATCTAACGCCACATGGCTTGTGCTCCATTTACAGTACCCTCACTCCAGTAGGTGGAGACAGACCTCAATAAATTAAATCTTCACGCCCACAGATTGTCGAATGACAACAGTGTTTTCCACTGCTAGTTTAAGAAATGAAGTAGAAACCTGCTGACACCTCCCATGTGCATCATCTGGTAACCGCGATCTATTCTCATCCAAAGCTGATGAACCAACTATACTGAAAGGAAAGCAGAGATAAATCGTTTAAAATGATCATTATGGTCACTATATTTTGTTTTCTGCACTTCCCAGAAATTACAGGTAGGGAAAACAACAATAATTATAACAATACAATGATTATAACATAATGATTCCTGTATTTAAACACTGTTTTTCCACAGGTGCATCTGACACAAAAAGTCTCTCCCAAACACCACCTTCCATCATTAGGAGAATTGGTGAATCTGTTCAAAGTGAAATCAAATGTTCACACAGCATTAAAGATTATGAGGTCATTCTTTGGTACAAGCAAGACCAACACCAAACTTTGGAGATCCTGGGATATGTCAACCTGCAGTTCGTGAATAAAGAAAGCAATCCGAGTGGAAATATCAGCTTTGACGGAGATGGCCGTAAAAAGTCAGCCCTCACCATCTATAATCTAAAGTTCAGTGACAGTGCAGTGTATTTCTGTGCTGCCAAACGCCACAGTGCTGCAGTTCACTGTAAAGTCAGTACAAAAACCTATACCCTTATTTGCCTGACAGAACAACAAAGTGCTGGGGATCCTGAGCACCTGCAGCTTTCAAGTTTGAGTTTGTTAAATTCATGTTCAATTAATATGATATTTTAAATACACAGTAATTTGCTTTAGCAATGCTCTCTATGCACTTCAAACAAGTTGAAAAAAACTTCCTTTCTGAAGCTGGAAACATTTCTGTCAGGTAATCCGCGTTTTGAATGTTATCAAATCTGTCTTGATCTAGAGAACTGGTAGTCCATGAGGAATTCTGTATGCACTGTGGTGGGACCTCTTATCAGCTGATACTGCAGCGACACTCCCACCTGAACTCTTCATTTCATGTGACTTGTAGTACTTCACAATCAGAAGATGGAGATTATCATTCAAATGAAACACAGGCTCCTCAGGCTATTAATCGTTCTGTTGTACACCCAAAAGCACCTATGTACTTTGAACATACAACAGCTACATTTGTAATAACCTTAAATTTCAGATATATCCAAGGTTTGAACTGAGGCCACCAAGCCTGATGCTCACCTTGAGGAATTTGGAGCCATAAGATAAAGGCTTGTATTTCTGTTCTGCGTTTCAGGGACCAATGTGCAACATCTGTATAAGACAGACATTCATTTTCATCACAAAGTGGCATCTATGATCCCTCTGCACGTATGAATCGTGCATCAAGAATAGTTTACACAAACTCATTTTTACTAGTTGATAAATGCAAGTCAGTCAGTGGATACAAAACTAAATGATTCAGTAAAATATAGAAAGATAACTTTAGATACAGATTTAAATGATTGTGCTCTGATCTTACATGAGTAAAAGGAATATCGATGCTGAAGTGACTACCAACCAAGGGGACACAGGGGAAAGATAATGATTTTTACACCCCCAGGGGGAGACAAATGTCAGCAAATGAAATAAGGTAGCAAACATATTGCACATGCCCAAAACCACAATATCTACACATAGCCTGCAGATAAAGTCAAAGCTTTGGTTTCATATCTGTCATGCATTAACTGTGATGTGCTTCACAGGAGAGGAATGTTCAACATGATCTCCACAGTCTTCATTCTCTTTTTCTTTCAGCTGATGGGGGATAACGGTGAGTATTCTAAGATCAGGAAATCATCACAGAGCTGGTAATTTCATTTCTAAAATAATCATGTGTTATTTTATTCCCAACAGGAGTTTCTAGCACCTACAATGTCCTGCAAACACCTCCTTCCATCATTAAGAAAGTCGGTCAATCAGTTTCCAATGAGATCCACTGTTCACACGATGTGTCAATTTTTGAATGGATTCTCTGGTATAAACAAGACAAACACAGAGCTCCACAGTTCCTTGGATACCTAAATCTGAACTTTCCCTACCCCGAGGAGGATGTCAAAGGAAAAATCATCTTTAACGGAAACGGCAAAGAATATTCAAACCTGACCATTTCTAATGTTTCAGTGACTGACAGTGCTGTGTATTTCTGTGCTGCCAGTCAGCACAGTACTACAGATCCAACTGAAGTCAATACAAAAACCTCTCCCAATGTCTATGACACAGATTAATATCTAAACACCTGCTGCCAGTCTGCAACTAAACCTAGCCTCAGAAAAAAGTCACTGACAGCTGCCTGGAGAACTAATGAAACAAAAGGCGTTTACTACTGCAAGCTCTTAACCTGACTTTGAAACAGACTTCATGAGTAAAAGGTTCTCAGCCATCAAGCGTGATGCTCACAGTGGGACACTGATAGTGAAGAATTTGGTGCCAGGAGATCAAGGCTTGCATTTCAGTGCTGTCTGTGAACACAGTGATACAGCCACACTCAACGCCTGTACAAAAATCTCACATAATGAACTGTAGGGGGATGTCAAGGACCACAAATACTCACAACTGACGATGGAGATACCACAGATCAAAGAGCTCCCCACAAAGCAGTGACACTCCCACCTGCAACTCTTTATATCAACATAAATTCAAACTGTCGTTTATTCACGTGCTCCCATCTTCTACAACATGGACATTTTCATATATGGTCACCTCACCTTTTTGATATTTCTGCTTTGGATCAAAGGTGAGATGTACTGAGATCTCATTTATTCTGTTACTTATTTTAGGGATGGCAGAAACAAGTGATCATAATTAAAGGCTTTATACTTAAACATCTGCATTATTAATTGAACTGTTCTACACACACAGGTTCAATTGATGCCAAGGATGTCACACAAACTCCCATGCTGTGGGAACAACAGGGTAATAATGCAACAATGGACTGCAGCCATACCAAGGATGCTTCCTATATCCAGATGTACTGGTACAGACAGCTGCCAGGAGAAAATATGGAACTGATTGTGTTCACAACAACAGCCAAAAAATACGATCACGACTTTGGAAAATTCAGCAAAGAGAAATACTCAGCCACAAAGACTGAGGCTCGCGATGGGACATTTACAGTGAAGGACCTGGAGCCAAAGGACAGCGGCTGGTATTTCTGTGCCGTCAGTAAGCACAGTGATACAGACTCATGTGAAAGCTGAACAAAAACCCCACTGAATGGTTGGCACAAGTGTTGCAATTATTCCCTGTACTGTAGGGGGACCTCAAGTACAACTACACATCAGAATCGTATGAAGCTTTTCAACCTCCCACCACACACACATTTCAGTTTAGGTTCCTCTGAACAGGATGATGATCACAGCTGGTCTGATCAAACTCTCTTCAGCTCTAGCTTCATTGGAGGTACTGTCCACTATGATAGTGATCTGTACTTTTCACTCTGCTCACCCCACAGGAGTTTCTAGCACCTACCATGTCCTGCAAACACCTCCTTCCATCATTAAGAAAGTCGGTCAATCAGTTTCCAGTGAGATCCACTGTTCACACGATGTGTCAACTGTTGATTGCATTCTCTGGTACAAACAAGATGAACACAAAGCTCTAAAGCTCATGGGATACCTTAAACGTGGAATATCCAAACCACGCAGATAATGTGAAAGTGAAAATCAGCTCTGATGGAAATGTCAAACAACATTCAAACCTGACCATTTCTAATGTTTCAGTGACTGACAGAAACATGTGCATTGGGCTCAGTATAGTATTACAGCTCCACTAAAGTCAATACAAAACCTTACCTAATGTCTCTGAGGCAGATTAATATCTGAACACCTGCAGCCAGTATGCAACTAAATTTAGCCTTAAGGTTTTGAGAGTTTCAAGACAGATTTGACCCCATTTGAAGACATGTTGCTGGCTTAGATTAAACCTTAAGCGTTGTTATAATCGTTGGAAGAAGCAGGGAATTAATTTTGATCAATTGTTAAAGTCACACACATAATTGTGTTTCCTGCCACCATGCTAGATGTCTTGTCCTCTGAAGAATTTAACAGTCAGGAATATAAACACAAGCTCGTGAACTGTAGGGGGATGTCAAGCACCACAAATGCTCACAACTTCTCTTTGATTCAGGATCACACAGCATGGCACAAAGCAGCGACACGCCCACCTGAAAATCTATATGTCAATGTAAATGCATACTGCCATTAATTCATGCATCTCCAACAACATGGACCTCATCAAGCATGGTCAGCTCAGCTGTTTGACTTTTCTTCTTTGGATGAAAGGTGGATTAGACTAAGATTTCATTCACATAAGGTGTATATGGTTTAACATTGTACTTTTAAAAAATGTCATTATTAACCAAACATTTATAAACACACAGGTCTAACTGATGCCAAGGATGTCACACAAACTCCCATGCTGTGGGAACAACGGGGTAATAATGCAACAATGGACTGCAGCCATACCAAGGATTCTTTCTATGTCCAGATGTACTGGTACAGACAGCTGCCAGGAGAAAATATGGAACTGATTGTGTTCACGACAACAGCCAAAAAATACGATCACGACTTTGGAAAATTCAGCAAAGAGAAATACTCAGCCACAAAGACTGAGGTTCATGATGGGACATTTACAGTGAAGGACCTGGAGCCAAAAGACAGCGGCTGGTATTTCTGTGCCGTCAGTAAGCACAGTGATACAGACTCATGTGAAAGCTGAACAAAAACCTCACTGAATGGTTGGCACAAGTGTTGCAATTATTTCCTGTACTGTAGGGGGACCTCAAGTACAACTACAGAGCGGGAAATCGTATGAAGCTCTTTAGCTTCCCACCACACACACATTCAAGTTTAGGTTCTGAGCAGGATGATGATCGCAGCTGGTCTGATCAAACTCTTTTCAGTGCTTTGTCTGCATATACGAGCCTTCCACATACATGACCGCATGAAAAACCATTCACAGAAAATTATAAGCTCATATTCACAGGCTGATTAACTCATTCAGTGGATACAAACATAATTAATCAATAAAATAAAGAAAGATACATTTAGTTACAGGTTTAAATGACCGGTTAATGATATGACATACAGAACGATATACAGTCATGTGAGAAAATTAGGACACCCTATGAAAGCCTGTATATTTTAAAATATATTTGGCCATATGGATATTTAATACCAATTTTAATGATACTGAGGGATTCAAATAATATAACTAAACAATTAAAAACAATAAGAAAAGCCTTTTTAAACTTCATGTGAAATGTAATTTAAAAAGAATGCAATTTTTGGTGAGGAATAAATTAGGACACCCCCACATATTATCCCACTTAAAATGGTTAAATTCACACACAGGTGTATCACGTCAGGTGCACATGATCAGTACGTCATTAACCAGCATTTTAAAGGAGCCTTGCCCTATTTAAACCTCAGATTTAGTTTGGTGTGCTCCTGACTGTTGAAGTGTTGAAGTGAGCGCCATGATGAGATCTAAAGAGCTGTGTGATACCCTCAGAAAGAAGATTCTGGCTGCTTGCGAGTCTGGTAAGGGACTTAAAAAGATCTCAAAAGAATTTGACATCAGCCATTCCATCCATCCGGAAAATTGTTTACAAGTGGAGGACATTCAAAACAACTGCTACCACGCCCAGGTCTGGCCGTCCAAGCAAATTCACCCCCAGAGCAGACGGCAAGATCCTCAAAGAAGTCATCAAAAATCCTAAAACGTCATCACGGGAACTACAGCAGGCTCTGGCTACCATTGATGTGAAAGTGCATGACTCTACTATCATAAAGAGACTACACAAGTTTGACTTTCACGGGAGGTGTGCAAGGAGGAAATATTTTTCTTAGAGAGCAAAGGTTAAGGCCAGACTGAAGTTTGCCAGAGCGAACACAGACAAAGACCATGACTTCTGGAATAATGTTCTTTGGACAGATGAGTCTAAAATTGAATTATTTGGACACCAGAACAGTAGACATGTTTGGCGTAAACCAAATACAGCCTTCCAAGAAAAGAACCTCATAACAACTGTGAAGCATGGAGGTGACAGTATCCTAGTTTGGGGATGCTTTGCTGCAGCAGTACCTGGCCAGCTCACCATCATAGAATCCATCATGAATTCTGCTGTGTATCAGAGGGTGCTTGAAGAACATGTGAAACCATCTGTTAAAAAATTAAAGCCGAAGCAGAACTGGACACTGCAACATGACAATGAACCAAAGCATTCCAGCAAATCCACCAAGGACTGGCTAAAAACTAAGAAGTGGAGAGTCCTGGAATGGCCAAGTCAAAGCCCTGATCTTAACCCCCATTGAGATTCAGTGGGGTGACTTGAAACTGGCTGTACATGGCAGAAAACCCTCAAACATCTCACAGATGAAGGAATTCTGCATTGAGGAGTGGGGCAATCCTTCTTCTGATCGATGTCAGAGACTGGTAAAAGGCTACAAAAGGCGTCTCGCTGAAGTTAAGTCAGCCACAGGAAGCAACACTAGTTATTAGGGGGGTAGGGTGTTCTAACTTTTTCCTCCATTGAAATAAACATTTTTGATTATATCTTTTTTTTTTTCATGTTTCACAAAATGTTCATTTTTGTTGTTTAATTGCAATTACGCCACTTTCTTTTCCAGTAATACCTAAAATCAGGATTGCTTCATAATAAAGAGCTGATTATTTAATGGGGTGTCCTAATTTTCTCACATGACTGTACACACACTGAAATTACCACCAACCATTATGTTAAAAACAAAACAAACAAAAAAAAAACCCCAAAACATATTTTACTCAAAGAGAGCCCAACTTCGTAAAAATCTGTATTTGCTGATAACAAAGATGATATATATCACACCAACAGGGGGAGACAAATGTCAGCAAATGAATAATGTCACAAACATTTTGCATACGCCCAAATGCCACAATATCTATATAGCATGCTGATAAAGTGAAAGCTTTGGTTTCTTAACTGTGATGAACTCCACAGAACAGAAAAGGAAGGGTCTATATTCAACATGATGTACACAGTCTTCTTGATCCATTTCTTTCAGCTCATAGGGAAGTATGGTGAGTATACTAACTTCAGGAAATTTCCACACAGCTGGTAATTTCTTTTTGAAAAAAAAAAAATCATGTTTTTGTTTTTTCCCCCACAGGAGTTTCTAGCACCTACAATGTCCTGCAAACACCTTCCATCATTAAGAAAGTTGGTCAATCAGTTTCCAGTGAGATCCACTGTTCACACAGTGTGTCGTCTTTTAATCAGATTCTCTGGTACAAACAAGACAAACACAGAGCTCTAAAGTTCCTCGGATACCTAAATGTAAACTCCCCAAACCCTGAGGATGATGTGAAAGGGAAAATCAGCTTTAATGGAGATGCCAGAAAACATTCAAACCTGACCATTTCTAATGTTTCAGTGACTGACAGTGCTGTGTATTTCTGTGCTGCCAGCACGGTACTACAGATTCCACTAAAGTCAATACAAAAACCTCTCTTAATGTCTCTGCAGAGAGATTAATATCTGAACACCTGCAGCCAGTATGCAACTGAATCTAGCCTTGGAAAAAAGTTACTAAAGGTTTCAAGCTAATTTTCATCCCCTTTGAAGTCACATTGGTGGCTCATTTCAAATATTAGTTGCAAGAATAACTGGAAGAATTAGAGCATTAATTTTGATCTATGATTAAAGCCAAACACATAATTCTATTTCCTGAAATCAAGCCGTAATCATTTTTCTAACATGTTGAAACAACCATCATCTTCCATTAATCCGTTCTGTTGTACTTATCCTATTCCGGGTCACAGGATGAGAGGTGGGGCACACACTGGACAGGTTGTTATGCTTTGGAAGGGCTAACATAGAGACACAGAAACATCATGGACTGCAGGGGGATGTCAAGTACCACAAATACAACTGTCAGTGGTGAAACCGAAGATAACAGGATCACAGAGCTCCCCACAAAGCAGTGACACGCCCACCTGAAACTCTTGATATCAACATAAATTCAAACTATCATTTATTCATGTGTTCCTATCGTCTACAACATGGACATTTTCATATATGGTCACCTCACTTTTTTGATATTTCTGCTTTGGATCAAAGGTGAGTTGAGTAAAATCTCATTTATGGTGTTTCTTATTTTAGAGATGGCAGAAACAAGCGATTATGGTTTAAAGTTTTATACTTAAAAATGTTCATTATTAACCGAATTGTTCTACACACACAGGTCTAACTGATGCCAAGGATGTCAAACAAACTCCCATGCTGTGGGAACAACAGGGTAATAATGCAACAATGGACTGCAGCCATACCAAGGATGCTAACCATTTCCAGATGTACTGGTACAGACAGCTGCCAGGAGAAAATATGGAACTGATTGTGTTCACAACAACAGCCAAAAAATACGATCACGACTTTGGAAAATTCAGCAAAGAGAAATACTCAGCCACAAAGACTGAGGTTCATGATGGGACATTTACAGTGAAGAACCTGGAGCCAAAGGACAGCGGCTGGTATTTCTGTGCCGTCAGTAAGCACAGTGATACAGACTCATGTGAAAGCTGAACAAAAACCTCACTGAATGGTTGGCACAAGTGTTGCAATTATTCCCTGTACTGTAGGGGGACCTCAAGTACAACTACACATCAGAGGATCATATGAAGGTCTTCAACTTCCCAACTACCATCTCACACACACTAACAGAGACTCTGGTCTCTTAAGTTTAAGATCCCCAGAACACAATAAAATAAAAATGTTCTTCACTGGAAGTTTTGATCTTTACTACTCACTTACAGTCAAACTACTGAATGCATGCTTATTATTCCATCTTCATTCAAAGGAAGCTTGATAGTTTTTAACCTGCTCAGATTTAAAAAACTGCCATGTGAGGGAATGAGGTATGTTCTTTTCACGTCTCTAAATCTCCTGCAAAAATATGAAGGAGGCCTCATGAGGACAAATGTTCAGCAACAAAGAGTGACATTCAAACTGGATCTCTGACAGTGGAGAAGGTGCTGGACGAAGAGAACAGTGCAATTCTGTGCTGTAAGTCAACACAGTCAAACAAGTGATTTAGACACTTGAAATAATCCTGCACTGCTGGTGTCAGGAAGCAGAAGATAATCTCACACACAGGGAACTTTAGACTCATTATTTTTAATGCCACTTAGAGACTGTGGCTGCTTTTCAGCTTTACTATTACGGTATAGTTGTTAAGATAGACTACTACTAGTGTTGCAACTGTAACTGAAAAGACTGTCTCTTAAAGCAGGCTTGTATTTCTCTGCGGTGCGTCATGGGCTGCAGTGCCATGACTAACTGCAATAATGTTCAAAGAAATCTCTGTAAATCAAAAAACAAATCCATGGACTAAACCATTATTTTTTTTTATCATAAAGCTGCATATATGAACCTTCCACATACATGACCACATGAAAAACCATTCATAGAAGATTATAAACTCACATTCGCAGGGTGATTAAGTCATTCAGTAGATACAAACAAAATGAATCAGTGAAATAAAGAAAGATAGATTTAGTTAGTTTTAAATGGCTGGTTACTGATATGACATACAGAACCACACACACACACACACACACACACACACACACACACACACACACACTGAAATTACTACCAACCATTATGTTAAAAAAAGCAAAGTAAAACAAGCAAAACATATTTCACTCAAAGAGAGTCCCACTTCATAAAAATCTGTATTTGCTGATGACAAAGATGATATATTTCATACCCACAGGGGGAGACAAATGTCAGCAAATAAACTAATGTAACAAACATTTTGCATACGCCCAAATGCCACAGTATCTACATAGCATACTGATAAAGTGAAAGCTTTGGTTTCACATCTGTCATATTTTAACTGTGATGAACTCCACAGGACAGCAAAGGAGGGTCTATATTCAACATGATGTCCACAGTCTTCTTTATCTATTTCTTTCAGCTCATAGGGAAGTATGGTGAGTATTCTAACATGAGAAAAATTCCCCTCATCTGGTAATTTCACCTTTTAAAAATCACATGTTTTTCTTTTCCCCCCCCAACAGGAGTTTCTAGCACCTACACGGTCCAGCAAACACCTCCTTCCATCATTAAGAAAGTTGGTCAATCTGTATCCAGTGAGATCCACTGTTCACACAGTGTGTCGTCTTTTAATAGGATTCTCTGGTATAAACAAGACAAACACAGAGCTCTAAAGTTCCTCGGATACCTAAATGTAAACTCCCCAATCCCCGAGGATGATGTGAAAGGGAAAATCAGCTTTAATGGAGATGGCAGAAAACATTCAAACCTGACCATTTCTAATGTGTCAGTGACTGACAGTGCTGTGTATTTCTGTGCTGCCAGCACGGTACTACAGATTCCACTAAAGGCAATACAAAAACCTCTCTTAATGTCTCTGCAGAGAGATTAATATCTGAACACCTGCAGCCAGTATGCAACTAAATCTAGCCTTGGAAAAAAAATACTGAAAGCTTGAAGCTAATTTTCATCCCCTTTGAAATCACATTGGTGGCTCTTTTCAAATATTAATAGTTGCTTCAATCGCTGGAAGAATTAGAGCATTAATGTTAATCTATGAATAAAGCCAGACACATAATTTTTCTTCCTGCAATCAAGCCGTACCCATTTTTCTGTCAAGATTTTCACAGTCAGCCATATAAATGTTGAAACAACGATCATAAAAATGCAAAGCCTCTTGTAATCTGTCTTCTTTAGCCTTTATCTAGTATCATTAAAAGTGGTAATCAACAGTTGTACTTCATGAAACCATCTTAAACAGCATCGACATAATGGTTAAACGATCCCTCCTCATATTGTTTCATCCATTTGCTGTGTGTATCAGGTGTTTCCCAATGAACTTTTTCCATTAATCCGTTTTGTACTTATCCTATTCTGGGTCACAGGATGAGAGGTGGGGCACACACTGGACAGGTTGTTATGCTTTGGAAGGGCTAACATAGAGACACAGAAACATCATGGACTGCAGGGGGATGTCAAGTACCACAAATACAACTGTCAGTGGTGAAACCGAAGATAACAGGATCACAGAGCTCCCCACAAAGCAGTGACACGCCCACCTGAAACTCTTGATATCAACATAAATTCAAACTATCATTTATTCATGTGTTCCTATCGTCTACAACATGGACATTTTCATATATGGTCACCTCACTTTTTTGATATTTCTGCTTTGGATCAAAGGTGAGTTGAGTAAAATCTCATTTATGGCGTTTCTTATTTTAGAGATGGCAGAAACAAGCGATTATGGTTTAAAGTTTTATACTTAAAAATGTTCATTATTAACCGAATTGTTCTACACACACAGGTCTAACTGATGCCAAGGATGTCAAACAAACTCCCATGCTGTGGGAACAACAGGGTAATAATGCAACAATGGACTGCAGCCATACCAAGGATGTTAACTATATCCAGATGTACTGGTACAGACAGCTGCCAGGAGAAAATATGGAACTGATTGTGTTCACAACAACAGCCAAAAAATACGATCACGACTTTGGAAAATTCAGCAAAGAGAAATACTCAGCCACAAAGACTGAGGTTCATGATGGGACATTTACAGTGAAGGACCTGGAGCCAAAAGACAGCGGCTGGTATTTCTGTGCCGTCAGTAAGCACAGTGATACAGACTCATGTGAAAGCTGAACAAAAACCTCACTGAATGGTTGGCACAAGTGTTGCAATTATTCCCTGTACTGTAGGGGGACCTCAAGTACAACTACACATCAGAGGATCATATGAAGGTCTTCAACTTCCCAACTACCAGCTCTCTCACACACACACACACACACACACACACACACACACACACGCTTGTTTCTTAAATTTAGGTTTGTCAGAGCACAATTATTGATCACAATTGGTCTGATCAAGCCCTCTTTAGCTCTGTTCTTAATTAGAGGTACTGTCCATTAAAATGGTCATCTGTACTCGTCACTCTGCTCACTTAAATTAACTTATGCCAACACATGGGGAAAACATGAAAAGTCCACATTCCCCCCAGGTACTCGTGCTTTCTCCCACAGTCCAAAGACATGCAATTAGCAGGGCTATGTTAACTGGGGGTTCTAAATTGCCCATAGGTGCGAATGTGACTATGAACGGTTATCTGTTTCTCTGTGTTAGTCCTGTGACAGACTGGTGACCTGTCCAGGGCATTTCTCTGAATCCAGACAGAATGATTGGCATCCACACACCCACCCATTCTTTTCCACTTATCCTACAACAAGATGTTGGATACCCCGTCTCTTAACATACTATCCGACCTTCTAACTTCATTTAAACAGCTAATCAGAGTGCTTAGGAACATAGATGAAAAATATAAATATTCTACTGGATAACCAAGGTTTTGGAGTGTAGTTCAGGTCAAGTATTACGGTACTTTGACTACTTCTACAGGTAGCAGCAGAACTTTAGTATAGTGACAGTTCAGGAAGAGAAGAGTGCATTATGGCACCACGTAATGAACTAACCCGTACAAGAATGATTTTTCTTTAGGCCAAACATTTCAAAAGTTAATATGGTGTGTTTTTATACCATACATCACAGTTATTAAAATGACACAAATCTTTGTGGATACTAAAAAAAAAAAAAGTACCTTTTCAAAACAAGACTGTATATGGTGAAAAATGCAATACGGTGGAAAATGATATATGGCAACTACTTTGATGCATGTTTAAAATGTATGCATATGGCTCAAAGATGTATAACTTTGACCCACTGGTGTTACTTGAGGTTTATGCATGAAACTTGGTGAAAAGAGTCAAACACTGTCGCAAATTTCAGAACCTTTTGCCATATTGTTCTACTGTTCAGGCCTCCACTGACAAAGAAAGAAGAGAAAATTGTAATAGAAAATTTAGAAACACTATTGGAGAGCTTACAAAGCTTTGCCATCAGCTTTCCAGCAGGTGCTGAAAAATAGCAATCTACTACACCAGGTGTTTCTGGGTTGTTGTTATTTTGAGTCCTGTCATTAGGTGGCAGTATGTCAACAGGTTGTGGCTGTTAAGAATACATTGCCCACCTAAAAGAAGTTGATTTCCAAAAGGGAGGGGTTAATTCAGATATGAGATATCAGTGTTACAGAAGCTACAGCTACAAAAGTAAAGAAGCAATAACGCAGGCAACATAAATCCATGAATCTGTGTGCAACCAAAAATGATCATCTTTTTGTTCTGTATGAGCTTTAAAATGATCCTGGTGTCAGGTAATGAGCTCTTTTTACTTTTCCATTTTTTGAAGATTCTCTCTCATGTTACTATGTTTTACATTTTCTGTTAACATTTTTTGTTTCACAGGTTCCTCACTCAGTGACCAGGTTTACCAGAATCCAGCTGATATGTATAAAGAACAAGGACAAAGAGCAGACATCACCTGTTCACACAGTATAGACAACTATGATCGAATCCTCTGGTACAAGAAAATAAAAGGCCATCTACAGTACCTGGGGTACATAGTAGGAAACCTAGGAAGTCCAGAGACTGGGGCAAATGTGACAATAATTGGAAATGCAAATAAAGACCAGACCTGCACGTTGACTATTAAAGATCTCACCCTGAACAGCAGTGCTGTGTACTTCTGTGCTGCTAGATTCCACAGTGCTACATATCACTGATCCACAATACAAAAACCTCTCAATCATATTTTATTTGATCTCTATGTCACAGCTCACAAGCCC